CAGTGCGCGAGATCCAAGCAGCGCAATGGCGGCATCGGTGGTAGCAGCCAAGGCCGGGCCATCGCTCCTCCAGCCCAAGCTCGATGCCTCTGCAGGATCGTCCGCCAGCCTCCGCCCGGTGTCGGTGTCCAAGGCATTTGGATTGCGCAGCAATGGAGGAGGAGCGCGCCTCACTTGCTCCATGGAGGACATTGTCAAGAGGGCCACGGATGTGGGCAAGGTCGCCGTTGCCACTGCCGCAGCCACATTGCTCGTCGCGGGGGTAAGCGAAAGATCTCCTCTGCTGGACGGATGAATTGAGAGAATTGGAGCAAGTCTGGTAGTCATTCTCATGAATTTCCCCTGTTTTGTGATGCTCTAGACCGCCGCCGCGAATCCAAAGCGCCTCACATACGACGAGGTCCAAGCCCAGACGTATCTCGAGGTGAAAGGCAGCGGCACCGCCAACCAGTGCCCGATCCTGTCCGGTGGCGACGAAGGATTCAAGTTCAAGCCCGGCAGCTACAGCGTCAAGAAGTTTTGCCTCGAGCCCACGTCCTTCACCGTGAAGAAGGAGTCGCCATTCAAGGGTGGCGGCGATCAATACGTCGACACCAAGCTCATGACGAGGCTGACATACACGCTGGACGAGATCGAGGCCGACTTGAGCGTGGACGAGAAGGGAAACCTCAAGCTGGTGGAGAAGGATGGCATCGACTACGCTGCGGTTACCGTCCAGCTCCCCGGAGGCGAGCGAGTTCCATTCCTCTTCACCATCAAGGAGCTCGTAGCGACTGGCTCCCCGGATGGATTCAGTGGAAGCTTTCTGGTGCCGTCTTACAGGGGCTCCTCGTTTCTAGACCCCAAGGGACGCGGTGGATCCACCGGGTATGACAATGCGGTGGCGTTGCCGGCCGGAGGCGCTGGTGACGAGGAGGAGCTCGGCAAGGAGAACCTCAAAGATACCTCGGGGTCGACTGGGAACATCACCTTGAAGGTGGCGGAGAGTAACACCGCCACTGGAGAGATTGCCGGGGTATTTGAGAGCATCCAGCCCTCGGACACGGATCTGGGATCGAAGGCTCCCAAGGAAGTGAAGATCCAAGGTATATGGTACGCGCAACTTGACTAAAGAAAGAGTCACAAAATCAGAGAGGAGAGATGATGTCCGGATGTTTGATCAGGAGAAAATCCTTGCATAAGAAGGCTGTCATCTTCTCAAACGAGCGATCTCACATTGTAAAGTCTCAAATCCTTTTTAAACTACAAAGCTGTTCCAAGATTCCATCTGTAGTAGCCAACGTTAAAATCAAATCACATTTTTCTCATCTGGAGCACAAGACTCTATGATATCACAATGGATTGAATCTTAACCGTCAGTTTGAACGGCCATGATCATTCTCTCTCACGTATAAAATAAAGGATAGGGTAAGGGTTTTCTACAATTCGTAGGCGGTGGTTGCGTTTCTTGGTGAGTGGCTATGGCGGTGTTGATTTCTTGCTTGAAATTCTGGGTCGGTGTGTGTGATCTCTCAAGGATTTCGTACCGGATCTGATCGATTTATCGTCTTTTTGCGAGACTGTAGGCTTCTTTCGGCAGCAGCGATGCAGATCTTTGTGAAAACCCTGACTGGCAAGACGATCACTCTCGAGGTGGAGAGCTCGGACACCATTGACAACGTTAAGACGAAGATTCAGGACAAGGAAGGGATTCCTCCGGACCAGCAGCGTCTCATCTTTGCAGGTAAGCAGCTAGAGGACGGCAGGACCTTGGCGGACTACAACATCCAGAAGGAGTCTACCCTCCATCTCGTCCTGCGGCTGCGCGGCGGGATGCAAATCTTTGTGAAGACCCTGACCGGCAAGACCATCACTCTGGAGGTGGAGAGCTCGGACACTATTGACAACGTCAAGACGAAGATCCAGGACAAGGAAGGAATTCCTCCGGACCAGCAGCGACTTATCTTCGCTGGGAAGCAGCTCGAGGATGGACGCACCTTGGCGGACTATAACATCCAGAAGGAGTCGACCCTCCACCTTGTGCTTCGTCTTCGTGGAGGGATGCAGATCTTTGTCAAGACACTTACAGGGAAGACCATCACTCTGGAGGTGGAGAGCTCGGATACGATTGACAACGTCAAGACTAAGATCCAGGACAAGGAGGGAATTCCCCCGGACCAGCAGCGTCTCATCTTCGCCGGGAAGCAGCTTGAGGATGGGCGTACGCTGGCGGACTACAACATCCAGAAGGAATCGACCCTCCACCTCGTCCTGCGGCTTCGTGGAGGCATGCAGATCTTCGTGAAGACCCTGACCGGCAAGACCATCACCCTGGAGGTGGAGAGCTCGGACACGATTGACAACGTGAAGACCAAGATCCAGGACAAAGAAGGAATTCCCCCGGACCAGCAGCGCCTCATCTTCGCCGGAAAGCAGCTTGAGGACGGCAGGACTCTAGCCGACTACAACATCCAGAAGGAGTCGACCCTCCATCTCGTCCTCCGGCTCCGTGGAGGCATGCAGATTTTCGTCAAGACTCTCACCGGCAAGACCATCACCCTGGAGGTGGAGAGCTCGGACACCATCGACAATGTGAAGACCAAGATCCAGGATAAAGAAGGCATTCCTCCGGACCAGCAGCGTCTCATCTTTGCCGGGAAGCAGCTCGAGGATGGGCGTACCCTGGCGGATTATAACATCCAGAAGGAGTCCACCCTCCATCTCGTCCTTCGTCTGCGTGGTGGCCAAGCTTAAGTTCTCTACTGTGAATGTAAGTAACCTCTCTTCCATGCAATAAAAAACGCACTGCCGCTTTCAACACCATCTAATTGATGTCGACAAGGTGTCTAAATATAGTATCAGAGTTCTAAAGCTAAACCTCCAACCCATCTAGTTTGAGGTGGTTGTGCATAATAAACAGCAATAAAAGAAAAGAACATAATTATTAGTAATACACTTTGGGAAGTCATTGAGATGATTGTAACAAAAAAATGTTTTTAACCCTGTCCGTTTTAGGATTTTTCCACTTATACGTATAGAAGTCCCAGATGGCGTGACGAAAGTCCGCTGCAGAACTGGCGCATTCTTCCCAAAACCATGTAAGCTTTTATACAGCACCAGTTTTACATTGGCGATCTGCCTTAGTGACAGCGATAACAAGTGCTGCCACCCAGAAAATCACCACAACCACGTTAGCTATGGCCTCGTAAAGCATGGCTGACCAGTGCCACTTTGGGAGATGGTCTCCCTCCACGAAATGTGGAACCTTTTCCTTGTAGTGAAGCAGCCCCTTGCGCTGTCCAGGCTTGTAGCTGGGCGGACACAAAATGTACACAATTGGTACAAGCATGTGTGTGCAAGTTGAAAGAAGAAAGAAGGACATTGCGATCACGTAAAAATCATGGCTGCAATTTCGGCCTCTTTGCTTCGCTACCCAGGAAATTCTGTAGGCCACCACTGCCAAGACCAGGAGTATGTAGATGATGTGAACCTTAACATGTTTGAGCTTGACAAGGAAAAATTTGATCAAGGCTGGCTGCTTGGTGAACTTGGCCTGTGCCGCAACTCGATCGATGCTGCTTGTTGGAGTGAATGTGAAAGTGGAAGAGTACGAAAAGATGGACTTGTATATGGTCTGGAGGAAGAAGGGTGTCATCCACCAGAAATGTGACTCGTCCCTGGATGGATTGTGGAAGACCGAGCCAGACTGAGATCCAAGAAAGGCGCCAGAAAATGAGGAAGATGGCGAGCTGGATGATAACACGCCGCGCCTCATGGGAGGTGCCGATCATGAGGTCCAAGTGAAGTGTAAGACAAACGATGAAGAGGAGAAGCATAACAAGGTTGACGATTGCGATGAAGTAGTATCCCGTGTGCCAGAAGAAACTCACCTTGAGAACCAAGGAGAGTTTGCTCTTTGGCCCAAGCATCTCTCTCCATGTCGCAGAGAATTGCTGTATAGCTCCCTGGCACCACCGCTGCCGCTGCTTGATATATCCTTCAAACGTCCACGGTGTAAGACCAATCTAACAATCAAAGGGGGAGTCAACAAAAGTCATCGTGTTTTGAGCAACAGCAGACCTGAAGCTTGCGGTTGAGGTAGACGGACTTGAAGCCCTGGTTGAAGAGCTTGAATGCGGTCATGGTGTCTTTTGTGATTGACATTGGCTGGAAGCCTCCAATCTCGTCCAGATGTTTCCTTCGGAAGATTGCTCCAGTTCCAACGCAGGGTGCGGCCCCAAATGTGTACCTGTGAATCATGACACGCTCGTGGCCAAATCCGCAAGCATCATTTAGAGGGTCTCCCACTGGCAGGTTAGAGGGATTTGCACGAATGACACTTTGGGGTCCTTCACTATGTGAGGGAGCAAAGTCTTCAAGAATGAGGGGTGAAGTATCATGTCTGCGTCCATCATCACCACGAACTCCGCGTCAGAATGCTCCAGGCCGTAGTTAAGGTTACCGCATTTGAAGTTGTGTGGGACTCCTGGAATCTGCAACAGTGAGATCATGAGCACGCACTGGGAAGGGAATAACAATATTGTAAGCTACCTTCTTTCTACGAAGATATTTGACACAAGCACTCTCCAATTCCTCACAGTATCGTTTTAGCTCATCGTCCCCTCCATCATCAAGGACCAAAACTCGAAACTGGTGCTTGGGACAATCCATGGCCAGGGCAGCCTGAATGGAATCCTCGGGAACGTCAGTGGGCTCTTTATAGCAGGGAAGAAATATGTCAACCGTCGGAAGCTCTTCCCAATTCAACGATAAACACTGACGGGGCCGCCATATTCGAGGCGGTAACACCGGATCCGCAGCCGAAATAACGCTGCTCGCAAAGTATATCACCTCGCAAGTCGTCAAAACTATCAGCCACGGCCTCCTCGCGAGCTCTCCGGGATGTTTAGAGTAAACATAGATCCTATAAACGAGGTAATTCACAAATGCAGCTATGTGTGTGCACAGACAAGGATGCAGATAATAGTGTGCCAGATTAGCTTCCCCCAATGTGGTGTCGATGTTGGATGAAGAGAAGACGAATTGGATGAAGATGGAGAAGAAGAATCATGGGAATCGCTTGGATCACTAAGATCACTTGGTGGTGTCTCCTGCTGCCGCTGCAACTCAAGATCTTTAATGCTAGACATGCTACTATCTTAATGAGTTTCCTTCGTTCCAGAGAATTTATTCGTGAGCATAATGTACTTTTCGTACAGCTGCATTTGTGTATGGTTGGTTGCTGTCTTGCAAATTGTGTCTTGATTCGTGTAAAGTTCCACTGAGAAGAGTTATTTCGTAAGGATGTTAAGAACTGCAAGCGAAAAACAAATATCATGTGTAAAAGTTAGCTAAATCTTCCGGTTTACATTGGTGAAATAAAGAAGTGGCATGTACAACGAAAGTTGATTGACTATATAGCACCTGCCTTACACCAGCGTCGATCCGACTTGGTGACGATTATAACTAGGGCCGCCACCCAGAAGATACTCGTAGCAACGTTAGATATCCCCTCGTAAAAGATTATTGACCAGTGCCACTTTGGGAGATACTCTCCCTCCAGAAACTGTGGAACTCCTTCCTTGTAGTGAAGCAGTGACTTGCGCTCCCCAGGCTTGTAGCTAGGTGGGCACAAGATGTACATAATTGGTATAAGCATGTGTGCACAGGTGGAAAGTAGAAAAAACGATATGGCGATCACGTAGAAATCATTCTGGCAGTTTTTGCCACCTTGCTTGGCTATCCAATAAATCCTGTAGCCAACCACACCCAAAACCAGGAATATGTAGATAATGTGCACCCTTACGTGCTTGAGTTTCACAAGGAACTTGATCACCGCTGGTTGCTTCTTGAGCTTGGCTTGTGCTGCAGCACGGTCAATGTTGCTTGTTGGAGTGAATGTAAAGGTGGAAGAGTATGAAAAGATCGACTTGTATATCGTTTTGAAAAAGTAGGGGGTCATCCACCAGAAATGTGACTCGTCCCGGTTGCGACTTTGGATTGACTGGGGAAGACCGAGCCATACCGCGAACCAAGACAGGCGCCAGCAGATAAGAAGAGCTGAGACATTAATAAGAATGCGTCGGCTTTCATCAAAGGTGCCAACAATGAGGTCCAAGTTCAAGGTAAGGAGAATTATGAAGAGCAAGACCATAACAATGTTGAAAACTGAGATGAAGTAGTATCCGGTGTGCCAGAAGTAACACACCTTGAGTAGGAATGAAAGCCTGCTCTTTGGCCCAAGCATCTCTCTCCATGTCGCAGAGAATTGTTGTATGGCTCCCTGGCACCACCGCTGCCGCTGCTTGATATATCCTTCAAACGTCCACGGTGTAAGACCAATCTAACAATAAAAGGTGGAGTCAACAAAAGTCACCGTGTTTTGACCAACAGCAGACCTGAAGCTTGCGGTTGAGGTAGACGGACTTGAAGCCCTGGTTGAAGAGCTTGAATGCGGTCATCGTGTCTTCTGTGATTGACATTGGCTGGAAGCCTCCAATCTCGTCCAGATGTTTCCGTCGGAAGATTGCTCCAGTTCCAACGCATGGTGCGGCCCCCAATGTGTCCCTGTGCACCATGGCGCGGTCATAGCCAAACCCGCTCGCATCATTTAGAGGATCCCCCACCGGAAGATTGTAAAACGACTGAGGTATTTGTACGAATGACACTTTGGGGTCTTTCACGATATGAGGGAGTAAAGTCTTCAGGAACGATGGGTGAAGTATCATGTCTGCGTCCATCATCACCACGAACTCCGCGTCGGAATGCTCCAGGCCGTAGTTAAGGTTACCGCATTTGAAGTTGTGTGGGACTCCTGGAATCTGTAACAAATGGTCATGAAAAAAGAAATGTTATAAAAGTTAACCTTTTCTCGACGAAGATATCGGACCGAAGCACTCGGAGGCTCGACATGCTCCAATACCTCACAGTATTGTTTCAGCTGGTCGTCCCCTCCATCATCCAGGACCAAAACGCGATACTGGTGCTTGGGATAATCCATAGCCAGGGCAGCCTGAATGGAATCCTCTGGAACGTCAGTGGGCTCTTTGCAGCAGGGAAGAAATATATCAACCGTGGGGAGCTCTTCCCAATTCAATGACAAACTCTGACGGGGCCGCCACATGCGAGGTGGTAACACCAGATCCACAGCTGCAATAACGCTGTTCAGAAAGTATATCACCTCGCAGATCGACAAAATTATCAGCCAAGGCCTTCTCACGAGCTCGCGGGGCTGCTTGGAGTAGACATAGAACCTGTAACTGAGGTAATTCACAAATGCAGCTACGTGTGCTGAGACAAGGAGACAAATGATTGTGTGCCAGATTAGCTTTCCCCATGGAGATGCTTGAGGAGCAGCTAACACAGATGTGGATGATGAAGGAGAACTAGACAGAGACGAAGAAGAAGATTCATGGGGTGCATTAGAATCACTATGGTCGCTAACATTATCACTTGGTTGCTGCTGCAACTCAAGATCCCCCACACTAGACATGATGCTGTGGGAGGAGGAATCACTGGAACATCTTACATATTCATGTTTGAAAGGGTTATTATATAACGTGCCATGTCCGTCCAGCTGTGCATTTTGGTTGAGCTGTCATTTTGTACATCATGGCGGCTTGTGAACAGAAACCAAACTTTTCAATACTAATCTATCTTAGAAAATATCCTAAGCACGGGACGATGTGTGAACAATTAAATAGAGGAATTGAATAAATGGCACTCAGTTCATTGTGTAGATGCAAAGTAGTATTCAATGGAACATAAATGAGCTGACTGATGAACGTGCGAACAACCTTGACAGACCAGCTAATTCTTTACATGATCATAAGTGGATTACAATGGTCTCTTTGAATAATAAATCAGATGTGTATTAACGAAACAACTCCTCGGAAAACACTTGCATGTAATGGAGTGATGAAAGAGAGCTGTATAAACCTTGTTTACTTGTTGACATACTTTCAAGAATCGTTGAATTCAACCGAGTAGAGCCTCTCGGCCTCGCAGTTGCTCCCAAAGTTGATGCGCCGGGCAGACAGCTCCTCCCAAATTGTCACGGCCACCTCACGATCCTCGTCAATGTGGAAACTGTAGTTATCGAGCTTCTCACAACCTGTTTCCGTGTAGCGTGGAATGTCGTTGCTCTTCGAGCTGAAAAAAGTAATCTTCATCGCCTTCTGATTACTATATACCTACCGGAAGGAACGAGTGTGTTACCGACTGATCCTCCATCACCTGCTCGTCCTTCTTGACAAACACCTTGAAAACATTTTGACACCTCTCAATCCCAAAGCAGTCCAAGAACTTGTACTCTGGTGGATCGACGTACCAGCGAAAGATGTGGCTTGTGGAGATCCCGTAAGAGAATTGGAGCAAGTCTGGTAGTCATTCTCATGAATTTCCCCTGTTTTTTTATGCTCTAGACCGCCGCCGCGAATCCAAAGCGCCTCACATACGACGAGGTCCAAGCCCAGACGTATCTCGAGGTGAAAGGCAGCGGCACCGCCAACCAGTGCCCGATCCTGTCCGGTGGCGACGAAGGATTCAAGTTCAAGCCCGGCAGCTACAGCGTCAAGAAGTTCTGCCTCGAGCCCACGTCCTTCACCGTGAAGAAGGAGTCGCCATTCAAGGGTGGCGGCGATCAATACGTCGACACCAAGCTCATGACGAGGCTGACATACACGCTGGACGAGATCGAGGCCGACTTGAGCGTGGACGAGAAGGGAAACCTCAAGCTGGTGGAGAAGGATGGCATCGACTACGCTGCGGTTACCGTCCAGCTCCCCGGAGGCGAGCGAGTTCCATTCCTCTTCACCATCAAGGAGCTCGTAGCGACTGGCTCCCCGGATGGATTCAGTGGAAGCTTTCTGGTGCCGTCTTACAGAGGCTCCTCGTTTCTAGACCCCAAGGGACGCGGTGGATCCACCGGGTATGACAATGCGGTGGCGTTGCCGGCCGGAGGCGCTGGTGACGAGGAGGAGCTCGGCAAGGAGAACCTCAAAGATACCTCGGGGTCGACTGGGAACATCACCTTGAAGGTGGCCGAGAGTAACACCGCCACTGGAGAGATTGCCGGGGTGTTTGAGAGCATCCAGCCCTCGGACACGGATCTGGGATCCAAGGCTCCCAAGGAAGTGAAGATCCAAGGTATATGGTGCGCGCAACTTGACTAAAGAAAGAGTCACAAAATCGAGAGGAGAGATGATGTCCGGATGTTTGATCAGGAAAAAATCCTTGCATAAGAAGGCTGTCATCTTCTCAAACGAGCGATCTCACATTGTAAAGTCTCAAATCCTTTTTAAACTACAAAGCTATTCCAAGATTCCATCTGTAGTAGACATCAAATCACATCTTGCCTAGATCAGCAATTTCAACGGTCACGATGGATTGAATCTTAGCCGTCAGTTTGAACGGCCATTATCATTCTCTCTCAACTATAAACTAAAGGATAGGGTAAGGGTTTGCCACAATTCGTAGGTGGTGCGTTTCTTGGTGAGTGGGTATGGCGGTGTTGATTTCTTGCTTGAAATTCTCAAGGATTTCGTGATTGCCTTACCGGATCTGATCGATTTATCGTTTCTTTTTGCGAGACTGTAGGCTTCTTTCGGCAGCAACGATGCAGATCTTTGTGAAAACCCTGACTGGCAAGACGATCACTCTCGAGGTGGAGAGCTCGGACACCATCGACAATGTTAAGACGAAGATTCAGGACAAGGAAGGGATTCCTCCGGACCAGCAGCGTCTCATCTTTGCAGGTAAGCAGCTAGAGGACGGCAGGACCTTGGCGGACTACAACATCCAGAAGGAGTCTACCCTCCATCTCGTCCTGCGGCTGCGCGGCGGGATGCAAATCTTTGTGAAGACCCTGACCGGCAAGACGATCACTCTCGAGGTGGAGAGCTCGGACACCATCGACAATGTTAAGACGAAGATCCAGGACAAGGAGGGAATTCCCCCGGACCAGCAGCGACTTATCTTCGCTGGGAAGCAGCTCGAGGATGGGCGGACTCTGGCGGACTACAACATCCAGAAGGAGTCGACCCTCCATCTCGTCCTGCGCCTCCGTGGTGGCATGCAGATTTTCGTCAAGACCCTGACTGGCAAGACCATCACTCTGGAGGTGGAGAGCTCGGATACGATTGACAACGTCAAGACTAAGATCCAGGACAAGGAGGGAATTCCCCCGGACCAGCAGCGTCTCATCTTTGCCGGGAAGCAGCTCGAGGATGGGCGTACCCTGGCGGATTATAACATCCAGAAGGAGTCGACCCTCCATCTCGTCCTTCGTCTGCGTGGTGGAATGTAAGTAACCTCTCTTCCATGTAATAAAGAACACACTGCCGCTTTCAACACCATCTCGAAGTTCTTCCCCATGCCCCTTGAGTTGGTATTTACCTAACCAGGCTGAATGTGTTGGAGTTGTGGAGGTGTATGCTGTGTGGAGATGTCAAGGTTTATGTTATCGGAGTTAAAAATGCCGAGTAGTAAGCCCATCACGTATGCCCACCACAGTCGCGCACAACATCACCACTATTGTAGTTAACTTGTCGAAGCAAGTCTTCCAACCAGAATGACAGCTGATAGTCGTGGATAGCACGCAATTGTCCATCACCAAATCGCCCCTCAAACAAATCCTTCACGGTCACCATGCCGATGAGCAGGAAGCCCTGAACGTTATACATCGTGCCATTGTCTTTCATACGTTTGATGGTGTGGTACAGCTCGTCCAGGCAACATCAGGCTGGAAGTAGTAGAAGTCCCTGTGATAGCAGATGGCGTGACGAAAGTCCGCTGCAGAACTGACGCATTCTTCCCAAAACCCTTTAAACAAGACTTTATGTAAGCTTTTATACAGCACCAGTTTTACACCATTGGCGATCTGCCTTGGTGACAGCGATAACAAGTGCTGCCACCCAGAAAATCACCACAACCACGTTAGCTATGGCCTCGTAAAACATGGCTGACCAGTGCCACTTTGGGAGATGGTCTCCCTCCACGAAATGTGGAACCTTTTCCTTGTAGTGAAGCAGCCCCTTGCGCTGCCCAGGCTTGTAGCTGGGCGGACACAAAATGTACACAATTGGTACAAGCATGTGTGTACAAGTTGAAAGAAGAAAGAAGGACATTGCGATCACGTAAAAATCATGGCTGCAATTTCGGCCTCTTTGCTTCGCTACCCAGGAAATTCTGTA